TTTTTTCAAGCTTTATCCTTTTGATTATTCTGAGTTTGCAATCTTAGTTGGGATGCCTATACCAGAGTTTCTTTGATCCTATGTGATCGTTAGTGGAGGCATACCAAATTGTTTTAATTTTGATATTAGATCGCTTCGTTTAACGGCCCTTTGTGACTAGTGATTTTTTTTGGCTGAATTATGAATGCAATTCCAGAATTTCTCAAAAAAAAATATATATACCTCCTTATCCTTATCTTTGACACTCCAAAAACCCCTCCTTATGACTCACCAAAAATATGCTAAGTGACTTTTCATGTGGAGATATATACCATTGAGTGAGAGAGAAGAGAGATGGAGGGAGGAGAAGATAAATCCCATGCACAAGAAGAAGAAACTCACGCCTAAAGAAGAAGAAACCAAATGAATTGTAAACAAATCAGAAATAATAAACATCAAATGCCACCAGTTTGGCAATAATAAAATTTCACCAAATCGGGTTGAAAAATAAAGTCCCAAGTATAACAAAGGTATTTTAGGAAGAGAAAATCCAGAATCTGACTCATCTAGCAAGTTGTGTAAACCTTACTTAGTCGAAACCTAGTCAATGGATTTAACCCACGAACAAATGAACTTCAAATAGAAAAAAATGAACCGTACGAGGAAAGCTTAATTTTCTACAACAACAATATCCAGTAAAGAGGATATGTATGCTTTGGGCGGTTGGGTTCATTTCAGTTAGTCCTTTTGCAGGCTTTATAATTTGGTGATGATTGTTGAATCTAGCAGTTGCTCACCTGATCTGTTCAATTCATCAAGGAAGAAAAGCATATTTGCTGTGTGTCATGCATGAACTACACTACAAGAAAAACAGGTATTAGTGGCCACCCACTTGGTCACAGAAACTACCCTTTTTGGTCACTGAATGCAATCAATGTCCAAATATTGGTGGTCACTGGGTGGTCACTAGAAGCTCGTCACAAATTCTACTTAGTGGCCAATGTCAACTATTGGTCACTACAACACAAAGAATCAGTGGCTATTCCTGGCTGGTCACTAATAAAAACGCTATTAGGTAACACAACTTTGGTCACTAAAGGGCTTACAATTTGGTCACGAAAACATGCCTTTTGGTCACTGAACCTGGGTCACGTGCCCACAATAGTGACCTACTTGGTTGGTCACTAATGTATTTCAAAAAATTGGTAACTAATTAGGTTTACCTCTTCATGTTCTTTATTTATTGTATTACAATATGAAATCACAATTAATTTCATTTAAACAGTGCTGTAGATAAAATTTATAGCATCAAATAATTCATTGTATTCAAAAGCAATCCATATATCTAACATTCTTCCAACAAATTCACAAGATATCTCAAAAACAAAATGCTACATATTTAAGTTATTCAACCTAAATGTCAAGTGCTTCGCAAAAACAAATAAAATAAGATTCATCACTAGTAGATTGTCTTCTGCCCTTTATCCATCAGACCTGCATCAAAAAAAGAATAATGTTAGTTCTTACTTGGGATGCACTAAACCGGGAATTAACTAAATGCAAGAATAATTAAACTCAAGAGCCAGCTAGCGCATCTTTTACAAATTAGTTGCTTAAAGTTTATCTAAATATGCTCAGTCAGGTTTATATAGTGCCTTGGACAAAACTGTCTAACCAGGGAAGAGAGCACTGAGACAGAAAAATATCAATTACCAAGACTTTTCTCAAAATGGAATCACTAAATGAATGAAGGCATGAGCATAATGCCAAGAAGAGGAACTAGATAGTGTCTCACCTTCCACTCATCTTTTTGC